TTAATAAGAGTTCCTATTTTATTCTGAGAAGAAAGGAGAAACAGCGGAGAAGGGAAATACTTTTTGGCAAATGAAAGGATCACCTGTTTGGCTTCTTCCTACAAATACATGAGATTGAACAAATGGTATACATGTTTTGTAGCAGTAACTAAGGTGAGAATTCAAACTATTAACGGTAAAAACACGAAAGCAAATGACAAAGAGCAATCACATATCAGTAGCTCCTTTATGTTTTTCAGTTACCAAGAGGGCATACAGAAAAACGGGAGAAAAATCTTTTCTGAAAGAAATCGTGTTGCTAAAAAGGAAAAGTGTGATGGTAAAGCCGTATTTTTACCTTGTTCGAAAAATCAACTAAACGTCACTCTAAGTCCCATAGCTAGAGCGCCATTCTAACTTCAACAAACATTGTTACAATTGTACAAAGTAGGAATACCTTTTTGAAGTTTCCGTAAGCACACATTGCTACTATAGTTATTTTGAATGTCTGATGGATTTATTTATGAAAACATCCCCTCCTCCCTCTGCCTCTCCTCCTTGCAGTCCCCCAGCACACACTTACAGGTGCTTAGTACCTGGCTGAAGGAACAACTGACACAGATGCAGGGCTACCGTGCAAAACCTAGACAGATTAGATATATTACTTAGCATCTAGAAAAAAAAAAAAGCATAAAGTAAGTCTTGAACATTAATATTTCAGAATTTATTGGCTGACAGCAGTAATGCTAGCATTACTCTTCTGCCACCGTTCATGGAAAGCTTTTTGTAATAAAAATGAAGCTTTGTCAGGTTAGAATTCCACATAGAACGTCAACAGCCTTAAACGTTGTCATTTTTACTAGCAGAATTACTGTTCTACTGTAACTAATGACCAACTAATGATACATTTCATATTTACATTTCATATTTAAGATGCATCATTTACAGGTTTAAAAGGTTTCTTTCAAACTCCTCCTTGAACGTAGTTTCACGAGCGTATTCTGTGTTTGAATACAGCTAGAATTATTAATTGTTAAAGGTCACCTTTCTGTGGACAATACTGTAATCCAAGACTTTTTTTCTAACAATAGATTCACAACAGGACACTGCACAGGAGAATTATTAAGTGTCATCACAGATATAATCAAAGACTTCAAAAAGAAATATTTAATGGATTTTTCATATGCTGCTGTTCCATTAGAAAATGGAGACTGGTTCCAGGGAATTTGAGGGAGAAATAATTATGCATATATATAAAAAAAATTTTACAAGCCAAAAGAAAAAACGTCAAGGGCTCAGTTTCCGCACTAACTATGTGCCAATTTGTTAATTACACAAAGTAATAATTCCTCCCTCTGATTATTTGACCTAAACTGATTAAAACTGCAATGTTACTAGTTTAGAGCTGTTGGTTCTTCTACATGTATTTAATGATAATAACAGATGTCTACTAATGAATAAAATCCTTGTTTCCTAGCAATGCAAGAGTGAAAACACAATTTCCACAATATTACATGCAAATACAGATAAAGTTATCTAAATCAACAGTATGCCTCAGAATATTACTCTGTCAATAACAAGAAAAACCATCCACAACAATTCATAACCTGTTCACTCTTACTTGTTAAAGGCAACGAATCTAATAAACATTTACACAACTTTTGACAAAGCTGGTGATATCTAATATTGGTCATTAAAAAAAAACTTGCTCAAGCTTACCTCTTTTATTTTATAAATAGCCCACTGTTTGAATATATTTTTCCTTTCTCCTTAATACACGTGATCTAGCTCTTTATTCTAAGAAATGTAAACAAGTAGTAAAGTCAAACAACAGAAACATCATTAAAAAGAAGCTCCAGCCTGTACAGTATTACATTTAAAATATACGACCACGAGCATCCAGAAGCACTTCTGCAGCCACTCTCAAGAAGACAAAAGAAAAGAAAAGAAAAGAAGAGAAAGAAAAATAAATCAATACTTACCTGAAGTGTGCCTCCCATGATTCTGTGACATCCTCTGGAAAAGATCACTGTTTTGTTCATAATACCTGTAGTCCTCATGTACGCGATCATTTAACTGACGCCTCCTTTGGGCATCATAAAAATGATCATAATAATAACAACGGGCACCAGCATCTCCATTTTCCATAGCAGAATTAGCTTCTGTTAAAAAGGATTGGGAGGAAGAGCCATATTCTCTAGGGACATCAGCTAAACTTCTTGCAAGATAGGAAGGTGCCGACAGTCTGTTGCTTTCACGTCTCATTATTTCATGAGGTGGCCTCTGAACTGGAGTTCTAAGGAAACTCTGGTTTCTGGAAACAATTCCATCTCCTCCAGAAGCATATACAGAAGAACTTGAGTCAGGAGGACAGATATCAGTTCGTCTTGGAATGGTTGGACCATGACGGATAAATGAAGGCATCAGATCTGTTTCAGGATAAAACCGAAATAAGAATTTCAGCTCCACTTGCACAAAATATCTGGTTAGCTGCAACACTGATTTACGCTATGATATTCAGGAAATTCAAAAGCCAGAACCCCTTTACAGCGCCTCTAATGCAGAGGCGAGTACAGTTGTAACGCTGCAGTTTGTATTGGTACAACAAAACCCATCACGCTCTCCTCTAGCAACGGAAACAATCCCCCAAAGAGCACAGTTTTGCCAGTACAACTGCATCTGCAAAAAATAAACTAGTCACACACTTTTGCCTGTGGCTACATCAGCCAGGCTTCACACCTCTTTATCTACTAGAAACATCAAGAAAATCTAACTCTCCTGGCTACCAGTCTACCACCTTATTGGGACCGCTGTCTTTATGAACGTTGAGTAACTGAATACATCAATGCTTACATGCTTATAGGACTCCATGACAGAGCCAGGAACAAAATTTGTATATTTTCCACATATAACAAAGCTTAATCAGCAAAACGTTGTCATTTTGCACGTGTAAGTTCTCAAATTAACACGAAGATACCTCATTTTTCTCCTTTATTTAAAGGGACACAAACACTGATAACTATTCAAGCAATTTCACTGCTTCCCTCCAGTATATGATATACTCCTTGTTATTACTTTCAGCACGGCGTGAATAAGTAGTTTTCCTGCAGGTGAGCTAACACAAACTACAAGCTTCGTTTATGAGCAAGCCATGCCTATCATTTACTATTTATAAGCAAACTCTTATAAACGTATAACTTAAAGCAAAATTTCAGTGCATCGCGCAAGGTGTAATCAGTAATTTTGTAACAGTCGTTACAACGCAGTCATGTAATAGCTGGTCATTAATTCACAGCAAATAGCATAAGCGCGTAGAAGGGGTTGACCCATTAGAAACACCAAAAACCTAAAACAAAAAAGAAAGAAAGAAAGAAAGAAAAAAAGAAAAGTAGTTCTTTTTTTTAAAGCCTAAGCCTGTGAGGCTGCTAAACGATTTTGCCTGTTGGTTGGGGAGCGGGTTGTTTGTGCAGCAAGGACTTCCAGAGAAGCCGAGCGCCTGCCTGCTCCTGCCTGCCGCTCAGCTGTTAGTCGCGGCCTCAAAGCTAACCTAATCCTACCATTACAGCACGATGCGCTTCAGTCTCAGTTTGTTTTCAATACTTTCTACGCGCTTCCGCTATTCTCCTGTAAAACCCTAGCAAGAAGGAAGCCGCAGCATTAACGCCAGGTTAACGGGATGAAGACTAGCGCGGCCGAGGTATGTAGGAGTGACCTCACCACGTCGGTTCACCGTTAAAACCGGAGCACTCGCTTCCGCAGGGATTTTACGCGACTGGCGTGGACAGTTACCTCATGTTCAAGGCGCACACCTTTTGGCAGCCGACACAGCCTGGCCTGGGAAAACACTGACTTTTGGAAAGAGCTGAACTGCCCCGTTCACCTCAGGGAGATCTGTCTGCGGATGATCTTAGCCCTGGTCTCTTGAGACTGAAAAAAGTTGAAAATGAAAAGCTTAAAGAAAAAGTTTGTTTACTGTGTGGGTACGCCTCTCTCTCAGGTTTAACCTCGGTCAGGTCTCGCTACCAACGGGGCGATTTTTTTCCCCGTTTATGAGGAAAAGGACTCAAAACAGCCCCTA